CTGTGGGGGCTCCTGCGGCTGCCAGGACAGAGTACTTCAGAACAAGTAGCTTAAAAGCACAGGAAGCACGGTGCTTAAGGCGCTGGACTCCCACATGACTGACCGCGGTTCAAGTCCTGGACCTGGTAGCTTGCTTTCTCACTTTTCCTTTTTCTCTCTCTAGTGAGCACACATGTCCTATAGAAAATTTAAAAATAATAATAATAGTAAGTTTAAAAAGCAAGAGCAACAACAACAGGAGTTGATTCTCTCAAGTTCTAGAGGCCAGACGTCAGACACCAAAGTTCAGTCAAGGCCACGCCTTCTAAAGTCTCTCGGGAGAACCGTCCTCTGCTCTGGCAGCCTCTGGAGGCCCCAGGCTGGCCCAGCTGTGGCCGCGTTGGTCTCCGCAGTCACAGGTCTTCTCCATGTGTCTCCTCTTCAGTCTCCTCTCCTCTCTCTCTCTTTTTAAGGTTTTTGCCAGAGAGTGCATTTACCTGTAGGAGAGAGACAGAGAAAGAGAAAGTGAGACATCACTGCCCAGGGGGATGGCCATGCCGCAATCTCTTCTCCATTCTCCTCCTGGGGTTCTGGGCATGCGTGCACACATACCCAGTGTGATGTTCTGGCCACCAGATCTGGGACTCAAACCACGGTCAGCCACATGGGAGTCCATCACCTTAACCATTAGCCACTTGCTGTTCCCTCTTCTCTCTATTTTTTTTCCAGAGAGATTTTTGCTATAGGGTGTGTGCACTTGCCAGAGACAGAGAAAGACAGAGAGACAGAAGGTGAGAAATCACCTCCCGGGGGGATGGCCACACCACAATCCCTTCTCTTCTATTCTCTCCTTGGGATTTTTGGGCATGCATCCTGCATGACTTTCAAGCCCTTGGGTCCGGGACTCGAACAGCGATCAACTACGTGGGAGTCCAGCAATGTAACCATTATACCATCTGCTGGTCCCCCTCTTCTGTCTCTTAACAGAACAGAATTAATGGATTTAAGACCCTCACAATCCAGGATGTTCATTTCAAGATCCTTAACTTGACTACATCCTGAGAAGACCCTTTTCCAAATGAGAGCACATTCACAGGTTTTGGGTGGGCATACCTGTTGGGGATCAGTTCAGCCCACTGTGGTTATATCCCCATTGTCATCATCACCACTGTCACCATCACTGTCACCATCACCAGTGCCATCCCTATCACCACTATCACATCCCCATCATCACCATCACTACCATCACCACCACCATCACCACCATCACCACCACCACCATCACCACCATCACCACCACCACCATCACCACCATCACTACCATCACTACCACCACCACCGTCACTACCATCACCATCACCACTATCTCTACCATCACTACCATCACTACCATCACCATCACTACCATCTCTACCATCACTACCATCACTACCATCACTACCATCACTACCATCACTACCATCACCA